TCCTGTCTCACTGCAGTTCCTCTCTGGCTCCCTCCCTCTGGCACAGAGAGTCTAGGAGCCAGTGAAAAGCTGTGGCACTATACTGGGAGCTGAAGTGCCAGCACCACAAAAGAGAAGTGGAGACAGAAGCTTAAGCCTCCTTAACTACCTCCTGTTTACTCTGGTTTTGGCCGGTAGCATCTCTCTGTTTGGACTCCCTAATCATTTATGTTGTGAGTAATCTTGGAGCTTTGTGCGTGTTTTGCAAAACTGCCTGGCAAACAGGCAAAGGAAAACAGAGCAAAGTCATTTTTATGCCATCTCTAAAAAAAAGGAAGCTTGCAAAGCCTATATACAAGGATTATTCATTTATTTACTTATTTTAAAGTAATGCTTTAGAAGAAAATAGGGGTCTGGTATAAATTGATATACATTTTATTGAAGCCAGTTTGCAACAGTTAAGATGTGACGTTTTTCTCTTGTAAACTCCTGTAGCAAGAAATACGATTTTTTGAGTTGGAGTTGTTAAATTCAGTAATGCCTTCTCACAACTTTAAAATACACTGGTGAAGCAAGTGCTGTCTTGTACTACCAGTTGGACCTACTTGGATATCTAGGAATTTGCTGACTCCAGCTGCAGACACAGTTTTGCTACCTGTGCATGTGAAAGATAAAGAGGTGCATGTATTTTTATGCATAGCTGCATGCACATTTTTGACAATCTGAGAATGCAGGGGTTCTGTGAAGCACTCAGTAAGATGTATACCAAATACAAAGCAGCACATTGCTAAATCTATCTAAGTTCAGTAATTTTTTGTTATTCAGTAACCATGGAAAAGTGGTGACTGAGTATGGACAGATCACTTTTGAGTGGGTGGTGGGGGGAAAATTATAACTGTGACAAAACCAGTTCAATTCAAGAGCATTCTTAGATGCTTAAGCCAATGCATGAATTCAACCTCAGGATATTAATTTGTGATCCTTAAAAACAGTTAATGTGTTTTGTTGTTTTGTGTTATTTGGTTGAGCAGATGGCAATGGTTTTGACACAATTAAGTTTTTTATTTTTCCTCTTTTCTTGCAAAAAGACAAGGCTCTTTTTCCCACTTTGTCACAGCTGGTTACCAATCAATCTCAATTCACGGTACAGTGATGATAGCACATGTTGTTCAGGGGCCAAATCTGATTGGGTTGCATTTTCAGCAGTGTTTCATACGAAAAAAATTGTGTCTGTATGGCAGTGACTGTCAGCATACTATTGTACAACTGTCATTAATCAAAACCAGCAACAATGAATGCATTCATATGTGCCAGAAACTGCCAGATTTCACTCAAAATCACCCAATTTCTATTAGAATTTCCTCACCAGCAGTGTTTTCTCATCTGCTTGTTGTCTGTCTCTTTTTTCCTTTCCAGTTCCCTGCCCACCCTTTCCTTCTCGGTTAATTAAAAGCAGACTTGCTCTAACTATTACTGGTAGAACAGGAATTATGTAACGTGGTGCCCAAAGGTGGCTGGTTTATATCTAAGGCTGTTTGAAAGACCTCTCCCAGCTCAGTCTGATGGCTGAAGTCTGAGCTGAACCAAAAGGTTAAGCACCTCCAAATGTTTAGCAAAGAGAAGTATTTAAAATCAGTTAGATGGCCATAAACATGTGGAACTGGTGTCTGACACCCTGTGTTTTTAGCTGAATGTTGGCATTAATTGGCTAGGAGTCAGCAATATTTGGGCAATGTGTCAGAAGGTGTTTCTTGACACTGCACATATTCTGAAGGCATTACCTTCTTAGTGCACTGTCAGAGTTAAGGACCAGCTTAACCAGTAAAACCTGGTTTTCTGCCATTCCATCATCAGTCCAAGAGTGTGGTAATATCTCTCTGTGATTAGGATTAGCAGTCAGAAGCTCTGATCGTGATTCCCAAGTGTTCAGTAGCACTAATCCAGATGAGAGTGAACGCCTTCACAAACTCAGGTAGAAGCATCTTGCTATGGGAATATAAAACCCTGGGGAAGAGAGGAGGTGAGACACTCTTCAAGACAGATGTTTGAGAAGCTGAAAACATATTCAGGCTTCACTCCCTGTTACTTCACGGTCCCTTTCTCACACAAGCCCCGTGTGCTTCCTGCTTCATCTGTCAAAGCTCTTCACCGAACCGTGGTGACTTCTGGGGACAGTGTGGGTGGAACAGATGACTGAGGGGCAGCGTTTCAATACTTCAGCACAGCAGATGGTTATAATGTCCCATGGGTCCATCTATGTATGAATCTAATTGCTAGACGCCATGTTCTGTCAGGGTGGTCCTATATCCCAGTATGGCCTTGTTGGAAGAGCAAACCAGGAGAGCTGGACCTGTCCTTAAAGTAATTGATAACTGGCCTGAAATAGTGACATGTTTACGCCACCCTCTGTTTCACGGCCCAACAAGAAGATGATGGCTGTACCCGGCTCTGCGTCCTGGCATGCCATGCAGCCTTTGCACAATGTGCATGATTGGCAGGTGCAGACATAAAGGCTGCCGAAGCCTCCAAGGCAGCTGGCTGGCATGCCTGCACCAGCACATTGGTGACATGAAGAAGAGCAAGTCAGCTGCAGCCCAACAACAGACTGGAGGGCCCTGTCCCAGGCTGCCTGCATCCCAGTTCAAGCAAGCACTCAGGTTCACTCCCACTGCCCGTCTGGTTTTCTCTCGGCAGTGGTAAGTGAAACACAAGGATGTTACTTGTCCCAAAGAAAAGCAATGTAATCAATGGCTAATTGTTGCCCAGGTTTATAGCTGTGAGTCCTATATCCAGCTCATGTTTATATTACAACAGATCTTAGTTTTTTTCATCTTACAGGAGCTGAATGCAACTTTATATTTCTAGTCCCCTAGGGCTGGCTTCATGTCAAGAAAATAACCATTTTTTCTTGCTGCAATTCTATGTTCGCCCAAGGCAAATAACTGCTCCATCATTGTGGGGTACTGTTGTCATATTCTTGAGATATTTAAGGGAGGCAATTTGCCTTTTCTGTCTTATGAAAACAGTGGGTTCTACTTGCCATTGACTAGTGCAGCACAGCATGCAAAATAACATAATTTGTGAGCAGGCAATAAGAAATGTTCCTCAACTGCATATAGCTGTTGAATGTAGTTGTAATAGATCTGTACTGCTCCAGACGCTGCACAGTAAGTTCTCCACTGTTCTCCCCTATCCCCCTCACTGTCACTACACTAGCTAAAAATATTACCCCTAAACGTTTGCGATGGCATGTACTTATTCTTCACCTTAGCATGTCTTATTCGTTAGTTAAACCTGAGGTACTGCATTTACATGTGATTAAATGTAACTCCCAACAAAAAGGTATTGTATGTGTTTGTGCTTATCTCTGACACAATGGTAGACCTCAGTTTGGTCTTTCTAAATGTTTTTGTTTTGCTGCTCAATAGCATGTACTTAGTGAATATGGAATGATGTATTGTGGTGAGTGTCAAAAAGATGTATTGACTTGTCTTTATTCTTAGAATTGCTGCTAATACTCTATTTGATGTTGTGAGCTTTAATTAGTCATAACAGAACTTTAAATATTTCAACTTATAGTATCCTTTGAGTTAAGATGTTTTAAAGTCTGTTACCACACAGTGCTCTCTCTACAAATCTATCCTACAGAAACCAACAGCAATATGTATTATGTACACAGAAATTAGTTTCAGATTCTCAAAGCATTTAAAAATAATCATAGAGGCTCACAACATTCCTGTAACTAGCTGCATTGCATTCTTATTCATCAAAACATTTAAGGATGCTCTTCCATATGATTTCAGTATGTTTGGTGAACAAGCCTACAAGGTCTTTACTGTATAACATAGAGAAGGTAAATTAATTCTTCTGAAGTTATGTCATAAGTGTGTATACAGGGAGAAAGAGTACTGACATCTGCAGTCTCAGATATCTCTAGTTTCATATTCAATTTCACTGTTTAATGCATGAGAATTGAAGCTAACTCTAGGTCCAAGGTGACTTGAAGTATCATGGGCTTATTATGTCTAGAATAAATGTTGTTGAAAATAATTTTACAAGAAAGTGTTCCAAGAGTAAAATATCAGTGCTGAAAAGCAGGGTTTTCCTGATTTGGAAGCCAAAGAAATTTCATAAAAGACAAAGTTTCCCATTGACATTAATGAGCTTTGGATCAGAGCCTACAATAGTTTGTTAGAGCCTAAAATGTAAGCATGACTTGTGCAGGGTAATAATAGTTTAACTGAAAATATTTTTCTAGGTGTAAGCACTCTAAATGCCTCGAGAATGAATGTTCACTGCATGCTGAAGTACTTTGTATTATTTCAAGTTTTATACATCTTCATAGTTTTAGAATTACTACAGCAATAGCAAAAAAAAAAACAAAACAAAAAACCAAAGCATAACTGAGTTATTTCTAATTTATTTTAAGAAAGAGAAAATGTCATTGTCCACCCTTAATGAATCATTTTGTGAAATTGATAAATCTCCTTTTATGTTCCTCTTCAATAAATGTCACCTTCCAGAGCTTAAATATTTTTTTTATTGTTTGTAATTGTGTAGTGTCAGATCCTACCAACATGTTAGCAGTGTCCCTATGGGGTTGCTGCTGTAGAGAAAAACTATATATAAAGGGAAATTTCCAAATCAGCAAAAGGTAAAAAGCATAGCGCACATAGTTAAAGGCATGATAAAACTGAGCTGTCAGGTACTGATAACTGATGTCTGATAGCTTAATTTTATCCTATTGCTCTAGATCAAGGACAAAGTGAATGATATTATTAATAAAGCCCTAATACTGAGTGAACATGGCAATACTAATTTTATGTAAAGTTTTTAACTAATGCAGAGTGCAATAAAAATGTCATGAAGATTAATGCTTGGTGGAATTATCTAATGCTAGATAATAATTTATCTTCCAAAGTTGGCTCCAGGATAGATTCAGACTGGCATGTTCCAGGTGACAGTTTTTGTTCATTAATGTTGTCCACAGAGAGAGTTCTCATTCTTTTTCTGTAACGCAGGTATGACATCAAAGATGACTATACTTTGCGCATTAAGAAGGCCATGAGCACAGATGAAGGAACCTACACATGCATTGCCGAGAATCGAGTTGGAAAAGTGGAAGCTTCTGCTACCCTCACTGTGCGAGGTGAGTGTTCCCATGGAGGGAGGGCCTGTCCCCTATATGGATAAATTGCTTTCTGATGAAATGGATCATGTCCTTACCTGGCATTGTCTCGGTTTCACGTACCCTTTGCAGTTGCTGGTACTGCACTGATTTATAACAAAGGTGAAATCCTGGTCCTGTTTATGTTTCCAGCAAAATCTGAACTGGCTTCAGTAGGATAGAATCTCCCTGCAGTTAAAGAGCTGTTCCAATGTTGTTGTTTTTTATTGAACAGATGCATATATATGCATAAGCAAGCACTACATAACTGTGAGCATAGACATTAATATGTGAGCCATCAGCTTAAGTTATTATTCTTTCTCTAGTAAGTATAAGGAATATAGTAAGTAACCATATTTATTAATGGCAAACATAATGCAGATGTGTTTATGTGACTAGCTCTGCCATAATTAAACTCTCTACCATTACTCTTTATCTGAAAGATAAACCCTAGCCAAAGGAAACGAAAATTCTAATTAAATTTTGTAAGTATTACAAGGTTAAAACTAACCTATTCTCTTCTAAAATATTCTTGGTCTCTGATATCCACTTATGGTTTATGTGCTGCTCTTTGATGTGGTAAGGAGGTTTTAAGACCGGTAGAATAATGAGTTGCCAAAATGTCTTGTGGCAGTAGGTATAGACATGATAAAGATTGCGGGGAGAGAAAAAGTTTGTAGGCTAATATTTCCATGTAAGTAAATAAAATATAATAGTTATTACTTCATTGCAAAAGATAAGCGGCAATTTGGCACAATGGATATCATGCAGACACTATTTCACAGTTTAGTGGTGCATGCTGATGGTTTTCAGTAGAGCTGTGAAAGGTTAATAAAAACATTTTTAGCTTTATCTGTCCTCCTCTTTTCATACACATTAAATCAAATGTTCAAAGTCTCAGCGGATTGCTTTATTAGAACTGGGGTCAACTGACCCAAGAGGCCAGCTTCCATTTCCATCCATTTAATGCATGGACACAGTTCAGTTTAATTTGCTGAATTCAAAGGGAAAAAAAAAAAGAACCGAGTGGCTTTGCTTGGGGGGGAGATGTTAGTATATAACAAAGAAAAGAGATTATTGTGATAATCCATCTCCTAAAATATCACCTCAGTGTTCACTTTAGACAGTAAGTGATAATGCAGCTCTTCCCATTTTAAACTGAAGAAATGGGTTTACCTGCTATATGCTTGTGTAAGAGATTGTTCTTCCATTTTGTATTATAAGAAAAATAGTCACTACAGGGGACTCCCGGATATACTTTCACTCTGTTTTGTCACAGGGACAGTCATGGTATCCGACAAACCTGGCAACCAGTTCACTGGGCTTTATATGCTCCTAGACCTGCGTCTACTTTTTATATACTGGAGCAAGCCTTCCAGATTTGCTGTCGAGGGTTGTGATATAAACAACAGCTAGAACCAAGCAAAAAATCCTTTGAAATCACTGAAGCTTGAACTTGATGAAATTAAGGTGAAAAAAACCTGAGGAAATATATAATTTAATCGATTTTCCTGCAGTAAAAGCAGGTTTTCATTATCTTGGATATTCTTCCCCCCTCACCACCCCCCCTGGGTTTCTCATTTACAGTCAAATAGATAGTGTTTATCCAACACAAAGGAAGCCACAATATTATAAGCTTATTAAATGTTCAGAATATGACAGAAAATGAGAAAAAAACCAAGAAATTCAATAGGGAAGGCTATTACTCTGATTTTTCTGCAAACAAAGGACTGGGCAAACTCATATTGACTTTAATAGGACCACAAACAAGTCTTTCTAGTTAAAGGAAGCCTTAATTATACATTCTTAAAGTTTTGCCAGTTTTGTCTGAAACCACTTTTACCATAACCGCTTGACATGCAGAAGAGCAAAACCATGTAGCATTTCAGAACGTACTTTGAGGGCGCCTTGCTCCTTGCAGGTGTTGTATAGTTACTGCTGCAAACCTGGCAACAACAGCATAAACGTTAGCTCCTTTGTGCATGGCTCCATCTTCTCAAAGCCAAGGGATGAGGATGCAGTCAGCAAGTTTGTGTTACAGAGTCACAAACAACAACAGAATTTGAATTCTGTGACTGAGCCTTCATGCCCTCTCTTGGAAGGATGCATATCACCCTTATTCCTCATCTCTCTGCAGAAGAAGGAATAAGTCCATAATACCAGAAGCCAGAAAGTCTTCAAATAGATGATGGGGTGATAAAAGGCAGCAGGCTTGAGATAGTTAAATAAAGTGGGTATTGCAAAGTACAGATAAAGCCATAGAAAGGCTGAAAAATAAGAATGTCCTTGCATACCGTGTTACCTTTGTATCTGCATATATTGCATTTGGCCCTAGTGTGCACATAAACATATAGAGCTGGTAAACTTATTAAAAACAAAAAGGGAAAAAAAAATCCCTGTGCTGTTGCTCAGAATTTCATAGCTACTTCTGCTGCTGAAATAAGGGAAGTTTTGCCTACACAGTTGAAACCTGGAGTCAATTTTATGTCCAACTTTTCAGCTCTTCTGAAAGGGGATGTCTTTATTTTATTAACAGAGGGACTGACAGGCCTCTTCCCCAGCACAAGCATAATGAAGGGCTGTTGCTATAATCAAGAAATCAACTTGTTGCAGCAGCAGCAGCAGCTCTCAATCTTTATATTCAGCCTGAAACAGTATTAAACTGTCGATCATTTAGCAGCAATGTTTTTAGGAAGTAGAAGTTATCTAAGCAGTGATTTGGGAAGTTCTGGCTTGAAATCCCTGCGGCCATTTCAGCCTATTTGTTATATTTTCATCAGCACTGTCAGTGAGGAAAAAGCAGTGTGCTGTAAACTTTCACGCCCTTTATTGAATGAGAAAAACTGTCCTGGGCTTTCTGTAGTCCTTGATGCTGTACTGACTGGTCATGCTTAAAATTCAATTGGTATTTGACTCAGAAAGCAAGCACCTTGCGTTTACTGGCATGACATTTGGCAGTCTGAGGCTTAAATTGATGTGTTCATCTTGGTCCAAAAGTTTGTGCTAATGCAATGCAATTTTTCTTTTATCAGGCATTAACAATGATACTTGATGATGGCATGTGAAGATAATAAAAATGCTTCTCAGAAATGGTTCCAGTCAGCTTGTTTAGATGCTATGCTCAAGTAAATGTGATAATAGCGGCACGTGACTAAACAACAACAGTAAATATTGTACTTAGGCTGTCATTTGAGGGGTTAGCAATCATGGTAGTATCCATAGTAGAAGGTAACATTACACGTCATGCATTCTGACAGATATTCTTTTTTTAATTTCTTTTTTATGTTCTCACTACACCATTGTAATGTCAACAGCTCGCCCCGTTGGTAAGTAACCATCCTTCTATCCATTTTAGCATGGCTTCATGCAATGCTTCATCTTTCATTTGCAACAGCATTTAACTGGCTGAAATTAGCAACCAGTGCTTAATAGTTTTAACTGTCTAACCCCAGGCAAGTGATTTTGACTGACAAAGTGCTATTTCCAAACTTTGTGTTTTCTGCTGTGTCATGTATAAATGCATTTGCCTAATCGCCAATAAATACCAATCAGCTAAACAGGGTGGGTGTTATGATACCTAGCCAAAATCACTCATTCAGCTGCTTTTAACAGTCTCTTTAAGGGCCTGGTATAAAAGCCATTGAAATCAACAGAGAGGTTTGTTTTGACTTTGGTGAGCTTCTACCAGGCCCTATCGATCAGCTCATTATGCTTTTATTGCATAGCAGTAAAAGCACAGGCTTTGCATGTCCTGTCTTACTTGTATCTTTCAAAGAGTTTTGTGTGTCCTAAATTCATAGAGGAGATGGAGTGGATTTCTGTGCTTGTTATGAAAGTTCATCATCGCTTTTTGTCCTTGGTCTTCTTGGAGTGCATTCCAGAATGCACTGTATAGGATGCAGGCTGTTTGGAATAACAAGTCCAGAGGAACACAACCCCTGGATTTTTAATTTTCACACTGAAAATTTTACTTTTTATTCCTATGTCTTTGAAATTACTTCTGAAGATTTATGAAAGTATGACTGAGCTAATGGGAAATTTGTAACTGTCAGTAGCTGAAATTCACTTTTGGTGTTCAGATATATCCTGACCAGATTATTTCATTTTCTTTCATGGATGTTTTCTCTGCCTATATGAATTTTCTAAATAATTTAACTAGTTGCACTGCTCTTCTGATTTCTGTAGTTTCTATTTAGATGTGTCTTTTAGAAGAATAATAAGGTTACTCTGATCTGTTTGGATTAGCGTGAGAAGTCTTACTGGGTTTTATGGAGATTGCTGAGAGGTTTGGTCTTTATTTAGGCAGAACCTTTGTTAGATAGGTTTTGACTAAAGTTTGTGAGTTTCAACTTGTCACAGCTCTTTATGGTTATGAGTTCGGAGGAAGAAATTTTGTAAAAAATTAAAGGTAAAATCCAGGTTAGGCCTCTCTTTCAAGAACTAATGTGATCCCATGCTTCGGATACATAGCATACATGTGGGATACTATATATGGAATAGACACCATACATGGGATACTAGCATATGTAGAACCAAGCCAAGTACCTCTGCAGTCACAGCATAGCTTATTGACATCTGGAGAATTCCCTGTGCAGAATGGAAGGTCACTGTTCTCTGTTTGGGATTTTGATAGCAAGCTTTAAGCCACAGTCACTACTGTATTACTCTGGCATTATGCTAGTTCTCAAGAACTTAATTCCCAGGAGATGTAACAGTGTAAATCTGGAGGAAACTCATAAGAAAATTTTCCTTTGCTTAGAAACTCTAGTGTGAATTTAGTATACTTGTAATGTAAATCTCTCAGAGAGAGGGGGGGTTTATGGCTCATTCTTTGTTCCCTAGGAAAATGTTACAGGATTAAAAGTATTTTACTTCTAGATATTTTTCTTACTTTGCTGACTCTTAAAAGAAAGGCAGGAAACATCTCAAAGTAGAGACTTTCAGGCTCTGTGAAAGCCACATAAAACAGATGACTGGAGGTTCACGAGAAAACAGATGACAGGAGGTTCACAAGAAAATGATAGGTTTCAGCAATGTTAATGATATCTCCACTGATTCTTTTTTCAAGACCTTTCACTGAGTCATTCATGATTCCATTTCCAAAGCTTATACAAAAGTTCCTGGTCTCAAGTCCTTATGTCCAGATTTATGGTCCACTTGTGTGACCACTCTGTTGTCAGTTTGGCATATTCCCTACCTATGCTATTTTATATTGTTGCAAGTGAACATCTGGTACAAAGAAAATTCTTCTTTTACACGGTTTATTCAGGAAACAAATGGTTGATCTTAAAATAATTATTACATGAGCATATGGTCTTTATCAAACTATTTAATTTAGTGATTGTCTTTGTGAGTTCTGAAAAGATTGTTAAGTAAATAAGTCCAACCCCGAAGATATTTAACATATAGAACTACTGTACAAGTGTGTGTGTAATTGCCATGTATAAGCAGATCAGTTTCTTTAGATCACTTTCATCTGTTCCTGTGCCTGCAGAAAAGGCAGTGTTGTCCATACAGTAGTGTATGCCTTTCTTATTTTCTGCTTAAGGACCTGAAATGAAACTTATCTCTACAGTTCATATCTCTGTTTCATTCAAAGAGTAAGCAAAACAGGCAGCTACCTATCCTGGGGTTTGAAAATTTAAAGCCCATTAAGTCAAATCAAAGTAACTTCCCTCTCCATCACCAGTTTTCCACCAAGAACCCCAAGCAATCTTCTGTTAAAATTATCATTTGACAAGAATGGTGAGTCAAAATTTGTTGCATCTTTTTTTGTTCAGGAAGTTCACCAGAATGCAGAGAAAAAATACCCCTCCTTACAGAAAGGTAGCTACGGCAAACACTACTCAATGCTAGTAAGCTCACAGCTCTCAAGGAGGCTGATGTTTTAAGGAAAGTATATTTATGTAGTCATATATATATGTTAAACTGCAGGGAAGCAGTTTGAAAGTTTATATTCTTTTGTAACGCCTGAGACTTTTATAGGTACCTCTACCTTTCATCACTACCTCCAATTCAAAGCAGACAGGGTTTGTCTTTGTTGTGTTTTAAACAAGACCAAACCATTTTCTTGAAATGGCGTGTCACTGAAGAATAGAAAAACGTATTTTTAATGTTCCGGGATTGCAATTCTTGTTGCAAATGGAATAATTTTTATTTTTTATTCAGTTTTTCCTGTTTCAGATATTTATATTCTGTTAGTTGTGACATTTCTATTTAGATTTCAGCTTGAATGGAAAATTCAGGAGTGAGATTATCAATGGCCATGTTTGGTTCAAGCAGTTATTAGCATATGGTACATACTACATAGACAAAATGAGGTATGATTCTGCCCGAGGTGGATGGCAGCTGGTGAATTTAACAGCTCTGTGCCAGATTACTCATCATGTTTGGATTTGCTGCTAGGCAAAATGTGTTACCCATTTCTAAAATAGATGTTCTCTTATTAATAACCTTTTGAAAAGATTTCTGACAGGATTTACAACAGATGGGTTTAGGAAACAAGATATTTATCCCTATTTAGACCATTTTAACTCGTTAGATGGATTTTTCAGATGAGCAAGTTAGTGGGGTTTTTTTTCACTTTTGCATTCTGCTGTGTTTCTTATGGCAGTTGGATGGGGAAACAGCTGCTAAAAGCAGCACAAAAGGTGGGAGGAGCATAAGTCACATAGAGGCCCACCGAAAGTAGCACTGACCTTCTTTTCAACAGCAGTTGTTAAACTGCTTTGAGAAGGGAGACCTGAAGTTCAAGTTAAAGATCTATGAAGATCTGTCTGATGTTTCAGTTACCTTTTTACTAATCATCCAAGAAGTCATTCAGATGACAGAGTACTCAGTTTTCAAATTGATTTCAGCTACATCCAAGTGAAAATACAGTTCTTTACATTTCAGTTGCCTTGCAGTATGTCAGGTTTACTTTATTTATTGTCATTTATTATGACTTCTCTTCCCAGAAAGAAGCGACGTGCAGCAAATAGCAATACTTTTGCCACCTGGATAGGAATTAAGTATTTGGAATTCACTAAGGAGAATCTCCCACTAATGGGAGACCAACCAAGCTACAAAAACTTTACTTCCTTCCCATGTTAAAGAAGAGAGAAACAAATAAGACACATGCTGTGAATTTTCCAAATTTCATAATAATTAAACACAGTCTATTCACATTTAAGTGCAATGTGACTGTATGATGGATTTCACTCTGCTCTGGGAAGTTTTCATGACATAAATCAACCTGGCATGACTTAATGATCTGTTAAGGGTGGTGCAGCATGAAATGTAAAATAGAAAGGACTGTATCTTAAAATTGTATTAGTTGTTGTGACTAGAAATTATGTTGTTTGTTGTTGTTAGATGGTGCAGATTGGTGAGAAGCGTCTCCCTCTATTCTTCTCCATTCTGACTCTTGCAGGGAAAGTCTGTGTAGAATGAATGCTTTTCTTTTGAGTATATTAATGAATATGTCACCTTCACTAGAGAGACTGAGGATTTATAAAATCTCAGTAATGGCAATTGGTGTGTGTCAGAAGAGGTGAGATCATGCTTGGCAGTGGCAGACATCTCAGATCTGTGGAAAATAGCCTGTCTGCCTGCTACCACCTATAGAACTTTTCAGTTCTATAGTTTAAGGACATGAGTGGATATTAGGCTTCTTGGATTTACTCCTTCCATGAGTGAAAGAATAACACGTCATTCTTGTGTAAAATAAGCAAATTCTTCAGATTAAAGAGAAAAGGTTGCCATGAAATGAAATTGAGATTTCTTTGTATACCAGGAAGAGCTAAAATATGAAGCTGACTTGCCCTGACACTTCTTAGTTTTTTAAAAACCAGACTAAAAATCCTAAAGTCCTATCATTTTTACTTTGGCAAAAGTCCCCTTTTGCCACTGAACGTAAAATTGAATCCCGTAATGACTTCAGATACCATAGAAATATGTTTGGAGTATATAGGCCAGAATGGCTTACCAAGTGAACACTGAGCTCATTAACCACCAAGCATTTAAGTACCAGTCCACAAAACTTGGCTTGAGTTCCAGCTGCTCTGGGTCTTCTTAGGTATGCCAGATCGCAGTCAGAACAGAAACACAGAAGAGCTGATAGATTCAATGATAGATGTGAAAGATGGTAGTATATGTACTGGAAGTTTTAGCACGTCATATTGTGATATCCTGTCTCATTCCACTATGGCACCAAGTACTTACTAACATTCATATTAGAGAAAACCCAGTTACAGCAAGTAACTGTTCAGCAAGTTATTGCTGAACTTCAGCTTGGGAAGGTTTTAGGAAATTCAGTGTGTAAATCTTTTTTAACCTTCCAGAAGGT